CCCAAAACCCCAAAACCCCAAAACCCCGTTTGGTGCATTGATGCTTAATTAAGTTGTTAATATAATCAAAGAAATAATGGAAGATAGCAAGTTCTTTACGTCAAAGTTGTGTGAATTTTACGTTCAAAAGCCATGCCCTAAACCTTTTCCTTTCTCTCATAAATCTGATAATCTTTTTGTAGCTCCTAAAACTTGTTTTGCTTTAGTAATTAGACTCTCGTATTTAAATTCTAACTAAGCAAGTCTTTGATGCTACGATTTTAGGTGTTTTAAATAGAAGACTAGTTTTAGCTGATGTTTGGTGTATTTCTATTTTCATCATGAATTTATGTTGCTGAATTTTTAGCATATTAAGGTGTTGTCTTTTGGCTATTGTGGTTCTAAAGTATAGCTTTCAACAGAGGGTTCTTGAGTTTACTTAAATTGTTGATATCATTACTCTACTTTCTCTTGATTTTTTTCTCATCATCTGAGCTTGAAATTAGATTTTCAGACATTAAATCATCTCCATCGTCTAAGATCTTCTATGAACTCATCTAGTTCAAGGTTTTCTGATCAATAATCTACTACTAACCAGTCTAGATTCTTACTACATTCATTCTTCTGAGTGGCTACTGGCTATTATCAGATTTCATTGTTGTTAACTTTCTCAATAATTAATTTTTATTTTCCTCCTCTTCTTTTTCTATGTCCTCCTTTGCTTTAAAATTTATCTTCTTCACAACAAGCTTTTTATCTTATATTTATTGTTATAGTTTACTAAGCAAGCCATTACTGAACTTATCTTTTAATGTATCTTGCTTTTACTTTATTAATTCTAATGTACTTGCCATCATACCAGATTACTGGACGTTGAAATAGCTTGGATGAGGCAAAGGATTTGGAGATCTAGAATTGCTAGATTGTTCCCTAAATGGAGTTCCAATTTTATTTTATGGTGAATATACCAACGTTTACTTGGGATTAAATCGATCTAAATCCTATCTATTCAATTTTTGTGATGATAATGATTGGGTTAGTCGTATTTATTCAAGCTTTGCTTCATGAGCAATGTTAGTTCTTAGGATTATTTTCTTGTTTGGGGTCTAGAATCATTTGCCTTATTGAGATCTATTTCAACAGGTTAATCAGCATACTTCTGGTAGGTCTTTTCAAAATATTAGCTCTGATCTGCATCACGAGAATTTGGGCTACTCTCCTTAACATACACCCAATCTTGTGAGCTTGATGGCTTATGGCTATGCCCATTTCGTTAAGGAATGGTATCCAAATTAATCTGATGCATTTTTGTGTTTAATTAAATAGATGTCGATGAGTCACCTCTAAAAATTGATGAATTAGAAGAGATAATACATACTTATTCTGCATTATATTTGGAGTTTAGTATTTCTTTGGCATTGTAGGTATACCACCATAATTAGCATTAACTCTGCTAACCTGAGTCGAGTATAAACTTTGATTGCCTTTGTAAAGTGGAGAGTTAATAGCGAAGCTTTCATTTTTGTCACTCTCAACACTTGTGAATTGATTGTTATTATTTCTGCCATTAGGAATTGATTCTTTTAGAAATATTTCAACCGATGAGTCCAATCTTGGAGGGATCCTCACCCTTTAAAAGTTCTTCCTTATTATTATTCTTTAATTGCTAGCTTGCTCTGGAGAATATTCAATTGAATTATTCTGGGCTTTCTGGATGATATTTTGAAGTTTGCTTCTCATAAAATTTTAGTTGTTATAGTTATCTAGTTGCATCTCGATAGAAAATTAACTTAAAATCCAAATATAATAGTAATTATAATTGCTTATGAATTTAGATGGATTGTTGTTGATTTCAAACTTCACTATACTATTCTGTATATAATTGTCTATTTTTTTAATTGGAACAAATGAATTATGCTGATCTTACGGGGTTTTGGGGTTTTGGGG